TGGTCATGGTTCAGTGAATGCCCCGGACTCTACCAACCTCAGCCCAGGCAAGCCCAGGGGTACCTCTGCTAATCTGTAGAGTAACTCCCTATGGCCTTCCCAGGTCTGGAGGGGCCTGGAGAGGCAGTGTGAGCAGGAAGTGAGGAGGAGGGGCCTGGAGAGGCAGTGTGAGCAGAAAGTCAGGGGGAGGGGCCTGGAGAGGCAGTGTGAGCAGGAAGTGAGGAGGAGGGGCCTGGAGAGGCAGTGTGAGCAGGAAGTCAGGGGGAGGGGCCTGGGGAGGCAGTGTGAGCAGAAAGTCAGGGGGAGGGGCCTGGAGAGGCAATGTGAGCAGGAAGTCAGGGGGAGGGGCCTGGGGAGGCAGTGTGAGCAGGAAGTCAGGGGGAGGGGCCTGGGGAGGCAGTGTGAGCAGGAAGTCAGGGGGAGGGGCCTGGGGAGGCAGTGTGAGCAGGAAGTCAGGGGGAGGGGCCTGGAGAGGCAGTGTGAGCAGGAAGTCAGGGGGAGGGGCCTGGGGAGGCAGTGTGAGCAGAAAGTCAGGGGGAGGGGCCTGGAGAGGCAGTGTGAGCAGGAAGTCAGGGGGAGGGGCCTGGGGAGGCAGTGTGAGCAGGAAGTCAGGGGGAGGGGCCTGGGGAGGCAGTGTGAGCAGGAAGTCACGGGGAGGGGCCTGGGGAGGCAGTGTGAGCAGAAAGTCAGGGGGAGGGGCCTGGAGAGGCAGTGTGAGCAGGAAGAGGAGCTCAGACCAGACAGAAAGCAAACAGTTCAAAGGGTGGCAGGCTGCTTTTTATTCATCGTTAATTTAAATACCCTTTAGTCTTCTCTCAGAGCAAAGTGCTGCTCAAAAGGAGAAATGTGTTGTTTCCAAGCGCTGTAGGCTTGCCTGCATGCTGGAACCCCTCCCCAGAGAACGCAGCATGAAAAATGAGTTGTAAAGCCAGGGCCAGCTTCCTTGGGAGGAGGGACAGGATCTCCAGTAAGGTTGGTGCCAAAAGGCCATGGCACTTCTCCTCAGTGCACAGTGAGGCTGGCTTTGCTCTGCATTCGGTGATGTCACATGCCAGGATGCCTTCTGGTGCCAAGGCTTCTCCAGGGTCATGAGAGTCCGGGCCACATGTCTGTGCTACCGAGCCCACGGCTTCAGCAGGTTTTTCTCCCTTCCCACTGTACGGGAGGCGCCTTCAGGGTCACCCAACAACCTTATGGACAGACAGACATGCCCAGCACCTCTTCTGGATGCTGAAGTGCCCCAAGCTGCTGACTAGCAGGGCCTCCCAGACACTGAGATTTGTGCTTTTTTTTTTTTTCCCTAAGAGTGTAAAAGGTTACATTAAGATAGACCCGGGTGGCCCACAGGCTCTGTGGTGGCTGACTAGATGGGGTGCTGTTGGCCTCAGTCCCTCAGAAGCACCCCCTCTGTTAATAAGGGCTCAGGTACCCTCACTCTAGAACCTGTAGGAAGAGGAGCCTGCTGGGGGTCTTGGTGACCAGCTCTTTCTAGGGGTAGACTTGGGGCTGGATGCTGGCTTCTGTGTAACACATAAACACATGCACACCGCACATAAAACTCCTGACACAGACAGGGACAAAGCCTGAGGAGATCTCTAGAGAATTAAACAGGAAAAATCGTTCTTCTTCAAGTGGGCCCCACCTGGGAGGATCCCTTGAGGAAAGGGCTAGTAGCTGTTTGTAAGGCTGCTGTGTGCGGGAACACCCGTGCGTGACATGCAAAGGCCAGGACTCCCTGTCACTGTTCAAGGGTTGAAGGCCTGAGACTGCCCAGCCCGTAGACCATCCCACCAGGACCCTGGGCTTCATTTGGAAGACACAGGGGCTGACTATGTGGCTTTAGTGGGCAATGACACCCACAGCGGCTTCTTTATCTACCAGCTCAACTCTAAGAAAGCCCGAGGCTCAGCCCCTGGCTTCTGCGTTCTGTGTGGCCGCAACCAGAAGACAAGGATTATGGGAGTCACGCTGTGTTATTATAGGAGCCCACAACCCAGTAGGACACTGTGAGTGTGAACCTGAGGTTAGGCAGGCGAGCTGCAGCCCACAGGAGTTGAGAAACTGGGGAGCTGCCAGCCATGGGTTAGACTAGAGATACCTGTGACCGTGGGAGAGGTGCTGCCATCTAAGGACACGGAGCCCTTCTTAGGAAAAGGGTCCTGAGCATTGTCATTGTTTCCAGAACGATAGGAGAGCCTATCTTTGCTTCTCTGTGTTGCCTTAAACAAGCGGTCACACCACATCGCTCTATTGCTCCATCAAGTCCCCTGACCTGAGGAGCCCCAGCTTTTTAAGAGCTGCACCCCCAGGCGTCTGGGGCACTGAATCCTTAGTCTGGGCAGGGGAGAGAAGGATGGCCTGTCGTACCACATAGTGGGACTGAGACTGGTTGTTGTGTGATGGGGACCAGAGGGGTACATGTGCCACCGGATCCTGAGATACTTGGAGGACAGACATTTCTCTGGGAAGTCATGTGAGGGAAGGAAAAGAGGGCCTTCCCTGCCCTGCCCCCTCCAACCATGTGTGTGCTTCCTTTAGAGGCTCTGCTCTAACTGTAGCCAATTGACTTCTTCCAAAGCCAGCGCATAGGAAAGGAACTGAAAACATCTAAGGCTGTGTGTGCAGCAGAAGCAACTTAGGGAGCCTAAGAAGCTTGGCGATAGAGGAGGCTGCCAAGGAGTGCTTGGCATTTCTCTTCCCTGGAGGAGGATCCTGGTGGTTGCTCCCCTGCTCCTGAGGAGGCAGGACTCCATGCATTCGTCAGTATGGTGGCTTGGATGGCTTATTATGTGGCGACTTGGTGGCCGAGCCTTAGCCCCACTGTTCTGTCGTCAGGGCTCCCCCGCCATGGGCAAAGTGCTATTTTGCCTGGTCCAGATGCCTCTGCCACAGGAATCTCTACTTCCCCCCTCTGGATGGCTCAGCTCCCCCAAAGTATTTCCCGTTGCCTAGGTGACATCTCTAACTGGATGCTTTTTAATCTGTTCTTCTTTTAAAGGGATAAGCCTGGTGCTTTATTTCCAGGTCCTGTCAGAAGCCCTATACTGGAGACTCACGTCTCTTAAGACTGTGTAGTCCCTTCCTGGGACCAAAGCCATTGTTCAGATGATAGCTCATGGGCTGGCCCTGATGTGCAGTCACAGTGGACTGGAGGGGTCATGGCTTCTGGAGGGGTCTACCCCTTGAGGATTTAGTAAGCCCGTCTCTCTCCTGTCAGCCCTACCTCGTTGGTTTTATACCAGACTAGAGCCTGTGTTTAAAGACCAACCCCAAAACCAGACTGGAAATTACCCAAACTAACCAAGCCCTGTGCCCTGGGTTATTTTTTTTCCTTCCTATCTGAAACTGGAAGGGAAAAATCAGAATTTGACATTCAAATATGGTTTTTAATGTTCTGTGTGTGTGAATGAACATGTGTGTATATGTGCACACACACTCCAGGCACATTTGCCAGGGAGAGGGATAGTGTACTGAGGTGATAATTTTTTTTTTTTTAAATTCCTACCAGCAGTGTATATTGGGTCACACCGTGAACTGACACTTTCCTTAAATGTTGGCATTTCTTCAGATGAGACAGAGGGCAGAGGTGTGCTCCTTCACAGCTTCAAACTCTGCCGGTTCAATGAAGCCTTGGGGATCTGGACTTCCCTCTGCAGAGGACGAGTCTGGGAGATTCTGTCCCTCAGCCTGAGGGCCATCATTCAGAACATCACTTTTTTTTTTTTTGGTTTTTCGAGGCAGGGTTTCTCTGTGTAGCTTTGCGCCTCTCCTGGAACTCACTTGGTAGCCCAGGCTGGCCTCGAACTCACAGAGATCCGCCTGGCTCTGCCTCCCGAGTGCTGGGATTAAAGGCGTGCGCCACCACCGCCATCACTTTTATCCCATGGGTTCTGGCATCTCCCTCCCTCCTTCCTGCCTCCTCCACCTCCAGTGTAGGGTATGCAGAGAGAACACAGACCTACCTGGTTATTTGGAGACCACACAGGCTTCAGAATGTAATGTGGTCTCATTGCGCCAGCCCCTAAACACTATGTGTTAGGCACGGGAGTTTAATGGCCTGACGTTTGCTTTTGGCTTCTGGTGCTGTAGGTCCCGGTTGGGGTAGAGGGCCGAGCCCTAAATTAGAGCAGAGGTGGATGGGGGCTGTGCTTCCCCTCTAGGCTCTCTAAAAGGGGGAAGGGTTGAACTGGTCAACAAGGGTTAAGAAGACAACGGTAACAAAATCTTATCTGAGAAGAGGCACCCAGTCCTGATTAGTACCGGAGAGCGGCCGTGCGCGTGCGCGTGCGCGAAGCTTGTGAATGAAAAGGAAGTCGGGGGTGGGAGGGGGGCTCATTTCAGAGATCACGCTGAAGCAGAGCAGGACTCCCAGTCTGAGAGCGCCTCTCCCTACAGGTCCCTCTGATTTTCCACAAGCAGAACTCAGGAAGCGGACTAGCTGCGGGCTGCGAAAGGCCAGCTAAGCCCCTCACCATTTGCATTTTCCAAGTGTGGGGGGAGATGCCACGGACTGCAGGTTGGTGCTGCGGTTCCCTCTCATTGCATAATACTACAGCAGCCCCGTGTGTAGTGGTGTTCTATATATACACACGGGGAGGCAGCATATGGCGCTCCCTACCCCCACCTGTCAAAACTGTGACTATATCACTTCTGACGACCAGAAGGAAGCTGCTAGGCTGGGCCAGGATTCTAAAGGCTGAGGAGGTAATTCAGAGCCATGAAAGGCGGCACCATATGCTTCGGGGTTGCCAGCTGCTTATGTGCATGGGGAAGGCTTTAGTGCCTGTCTGCAAAGCCCAGGAATGCACTCTCCTTGCTGCAGTATGCACTGGCACGGGGAGAGGGGGGGATTTGGGGTGCCACTTTTTCTCTTCCTGGAAGGGAAATCTGTTGCGGGGGCCACGGTGCTCCAAGAGGGGACTCAAAAGATCACAGTCTCATCTAAAACTTGCCCTTGGTCACGTCAGGCCTGGCCAAATAGTATTTCTTTAGAAAACATGTTTGTTTTTTTGTGTTTTGTTTTGTTTTGTTTCGTTTCGTTTTTATTGGATAAAGATTAAGAAAGCGCGGTCTCGGAGAGGATCGAAGCAAACCCGCCCGGCGGCGCGCAGCCCGGGCCGGGTCCGCGGCGCTGGGGGCGGGCAGCCGCTCTACCTGGAGGCGCTGGTCTCTGCCAGCCGGTTGTTCATGATGCCCAGCGCGCCCACGCCGCCCGAGAAGCCGTTCTGGCGCGTGTTGACGCACACGCTGCGCGGGTAGCCGTTGGCCGTCTCGGACAGCTGCTTCTGCAGCAGCGCCAGCGACACCTTGTTGGACGCCGTGAGGTCGCGCATGGAGATGAGCTCGCCCGACAGGCGGCGGCCCTCGGCGTCGCTGTCGCGGGTCGCGGGGTCGGCGCCCAGCGCGGCCAGGCGGCGGCGCAGCCGGGAGCCCGGGGTGATGGCATTGCGCCGTGACAGGGGCGCGCCGGGCGCCGGGCAGCAGCGCGTGCAGCAGCGGCAGCTCAGCTTGCGCAGCATCCAGTTGAGCACCTGCTTGATGAGGATGGAGATGACGTTGAAGAGCGAGTAGATGCAGCACACGCCGAGCAGGATGAAGAGGAAGTTGCCCAGGCGGTAGAGCCCCTGGTTCCGGTAGGCGGCGTGCTGGCTGCTCACCAGGTCCCCGAAGCCGATGGTGCTGAAGGTGACGAAGCAGAAGTAGAGCGAGTCCACGTAGTCCCAGCCCTCCACGCTGGTGTACATGGCCGAGGCGCAGCATGCCAGCAGCACGGCGAACAGGCCCAGGATGAGCAGCACGTGGTACACCGAGGGCTTCCAGCCCGCCAGGCTGTCGGCCTCGGACAGCGCCGAGCCCCGACGGAAGGTGGCGGGCAGCAGGCCGCTGCGGCGCAGCTGGCGCTCTCGGCAGGCGCGCATGATGAAGGCCAGCAGCGAGATGATGCGCTCCAGAAAGAGGTTGAAGAACAGGATGGTCCCCGCGCAGCCGAACAGTCCGTAGGCGATGAGGAAGGCCTTCCCGCCCACTGTGGCTGGGGTGGTCATGCCGAAACCTGTGGAAGATAAGAGCCGGGGTCAGCGAGGGCAGGTGGTCCCTATCTGGTGGGGGCGTGTGACAGGCCGGATACAGATGCGGGATCAATTCCTACCCTGACAATCATGGGAACCCCAACAAGATGGAGAGAAGCCTTTGCCGTGGGGACGTTTACACAGCATGGGTAGGGCAGATAGGCACTAGGATGGGCCCAGTGGGCTCTGCCAAGCAGCAACAGGTGCGCAGACGCAAACCACCGAGCTGCCCACAAAGCCTGCAGTAACACCTGTTCCCCTAACTGAATTTTTATTTTTATGGACTCCCAGGCAGACAGCCTTGGGCTGGACTTCCAGAAGGACATCTTGTAATTGCGATTGCTTATTCTGGGACCAGTGAGAGAGAATGACCAGATAGCTCTGGTTCACTTACCAAGTTCACACAAGGATCCTTTAGGGGACAAGTTCCCCTCCCCAGCCACGGGGCTTCTGCTGATCCCCCTCTCTCCAGGACCACCATCGGTCACCCTCGCACAGACCATGGCCAAGGGAAAACGTTTTTGGCCCAGCTGGGTCCTGTGGTGCTGGTCTACGGCTGGAAGGTCTGTCCTAAACCTAGGCAGCTGCTTACTGTTCTCAACCCTTACAATTAAGAGAGGAAACCTACCTACCCATTTGCTGAAAGCTGGGCCTTAAAGGATTTGTTAACCGATTCCCACAGGAGGCCTGGCTGCCCCACCAGCCTGAGCATTAGAGTTGCTTGAGAAGGGGGCGGGGTGAGAAGGGGGCGGGGCGGGTCTTGATTCTTTCTTGGTGCTTGGAGTCTGCGCAGTCTGACCACATCACACATTTCCATGCCTGGGGGAGCGAAGCTTCAGAGGTGTCCCCACTTCCTTCACGCCCGACAGAAAGGGACAGCCCGTGTGCTGCTGTGGGGATAGGTCCAGCTTTGGGAAGAAATCGAGGATGCTTTGTCCCTGTTGGTTTACTGCCTCCATAAATAGGCCAGAGAAAATACTCCCTAACGCTAACAGAGCAAATTCCTTAAGCGTGTATGCTAATCATTTTCTTGATTCCCTGGAGGCAACGCCCAAGCCGTCTATTCATTTTACGCTCACTGACTCAAGTTCAAGGAAAAGCCTATGCTATGACTCATTGAGAAAGATGATTTGTGCGCTGCATTCCAAATTTAGCCACAAAAGAATGAAAAAAAAAAAAGGAAATAACAGCAACAAAACAAAATGTTAGTGGTTTGTCCAGGACTGTGAAAGGATTTTACAGTAATCTAAAGCCAAATTCTACTTCTTGGGCTCATGAAGAAATTAACTCCGTATTTATATTAGTGCATGTGGAGGTACAGTGTAGGCACGGTGATGAATGCTTATAATCCCAGCTTTGAGGATGAGCAGATCAAGGTCATCCTTGCCTACATAGTAAATTATTAGCCAGCCTAGGATATAGGAGACCCTGAAGGGACTCTAGCCAGCCCGAGCATGGCGAGCATGGCAAACATGGCTCTGGCAGGCCTTGCCCTTCTCCCCGATTCTGTCTTCCTCTCTAAAAACCATGAGATTACATTCCTAAAGCTGGCCACCAAGTTCTATTCCCTATTTGGCCACTCCCTCCTCCTGACGCCGACTACCAAGGATCAGGTATCAAAGTATTGAAGTCCAGCAATCAAAAGCCCCTTTTGGTTCACCTAATTAACATGCCCAATTAAAATTAAACACCTCATCTTAACATGGGGCTTCCCCTTGTACCTTTATAATTGCCATTTTCCTGTGGGCTACATCTGTCTCCTCTCTCTCCAGAGGCAGTCCTTTGTCCCTCCAGGACAACTATCCCTTCCCCCTCTCCCTGGTTCCGTTCCCCTTCTCCCTCATTCTCTATCTCCTGTCTTTGCCTCTCATTCCCTACCCTCTGTCTCTCTGGGGCAAGTACATCTCCTTTATGCTGAGAACTTGGTCTTGGGGGTCCTGAGCTGATGCCAATCCCTTCAGACCCTGTCTCAAAAATAAAATAAGCCGGGTGGTGGTGGCGCACGCCTTTAATCCCAGCACTCGGGAGGCAGAGCCAGGCGGATCTCTGTGAGTTCGAGGCCAGCCTGGTCTACAGCGCGAGATCCAGGAAAGGCGCAAAGCTACACAGAGAAACCCTGTCTCGAAAAAACCAAAAAAAAAAAAAAAAAAAAAAAACAAAATAAAATAAATTTAAAAAGTTGTAGATTGGCGTCTGGAGAAATGGCCCGGCGATTAAGAGCACATACTGCTCTTGCAGAGGACCTTAGTAGATACTTCAGCATCTAGGTGATTCACAACCACCTGTAACTCTAGCTGCAGAGGGTCCAAAGTCTCTGCCATTCAAAGCCTTAGGCACCTTCACCCACACACCCCATTCAGCCAAAGTCCTATATTGATAAACCAGTGCCCAGCAACGTAACTAGACTATGGTCTGCTCAATACAGGGGAACCTCACTCATTGAAGAAAAAACAAAAACAAAAACCATGAGCCATAGCTATTTACAATACAATGAATCTCACACAAAAAAGGACATTAAACAAAAGAAGCTATAAAGGAAATAACCTGCACTGTTTCAGTAATATAATACAGTTTTTTTTTTAAGGGATGCCTACTTGATTGATCAAATTATAAGGAAAGAGTAGGGGCTTTCTTGGGGAGAGGGTGCAGGGAAGAGTGATTTACATCCAGGGGTCCTCGAATTGTCACCCAAATGCTAGCTCTGTCGGATGTGTTCAACTGTGCATTTTATATGTTTTCTCACACCTCCACGATAAGAAAAAAAAAAAATCTTGATTTTTAGAGTGTTACAACTTTTGTTATCACGTAGCTATTTAAGCTTGAGGACTATTTTATTAGAGTCTGAGAGAAAAACAACTGGCTGGTTTGTTATTTTGTCGCCATTGGCGAATGCAGCCATGCCTGGAGCAAGCCTGGTGAGTGCTCTGCCACTGAGCTCCATGCCCCGCTAAGAGACCTGAATTTTGACTTGTCCCTCGAGGTGTTGGTGAGGGGGGGAGGCGCAGCGAGAGCCTGGCACTCACACACCACCACCTTCCTGTGTCACAACGGGAAACAGACCTCTAGTGAAGGGGTTCCTTTGTTAAATTCCTAAAGAAACGGAAAATCCTAAGCCTGGAAAATTGGTGCTTGGTCTAGTTATGAGAATGTTAAATTGCACTTTCCTATTCTTTCCAATTTTTGGCTAAAGTCTCAATACTGAGAACAACCTGTGGCACGTAATTCTTCATTCTTCCTCTTTTTTTTTCTTTTTTCGTGTGTGTGTGTGTGTGTGTGTGTGTGTGTGTGTGTGTGTGTGTGCATGTGGAGGTTTAACAGGCTTCTCATGTAGTCCAGGATGGCTTCAGATTTCCTATGTAACCAAGGCTGGCCTTGAATTCTGGATCCCTTATTCTATCTCTAGACTGCTGGGACTACATAGTGTAACACTATGTCCAGTCAGACGTGTCCATGCTGGATTCACTAACAAAACAGTTTTGACAATTAGGACACCCTGCACACCTCCAGGAATCTGAAAGTCTAGAAATTATCCTGGATATTGGTGGGAGATGCATCTGAGGTATTAGAGTCCTTGTGTGTAGGCTTCTTCCACGAATCCCTAGGCCACTCACCTGGAACTGTCCTGGAACTCATTCTGTGAACCAGCCAGTTCCAGGACACTTTGTATAGCAGTAAAATTTGCTATGTATCCAAAAATGACCTTTAACCCCTAATTCTCCTGCTGCTAGCTCCTAAGTGATGGGTTTACAGCATTCACCACCATGCCTGGCTAGTTTGGATCTTGAATAGCCTCCAAATTCTCATCTGTTGAAGGCTTGATGCCTAGGCACGATTAGGAGGTGATGGAACCTTCGGGGTGAGGCCATAATGGGAGTTCTTTAGGCCAGTGGAGGGCCTGTCCTCGCAAGGGGGTTATGGGACCCTGGCCCTTTTCTCATTCTGTTTTGCTTTTTGGCCATGAGTAGTGGTTGGTTGGTGCTAGGAGTTGAAGCCAGGGCTCTAAGAAAGGGCATGCCTGTCCTTAGAGTGGGCAGTGTAGCCTCATCAGCAAGAGCCAAAAGGGGATGTTAAGGGTCCAGTGACATAAGACAAGGTTCCAGCCCTACCACGCCCTCCCTTGCACCCACATTCCTGGGCCACAGGTCAGGCCAGAGCAGGAGGAACACGCTAAGCTTTGGCAGGAGGTGAATTAGAAGACTGGATTTGGTACCTAGGGATGAGTCTCCATCTCAAGATTAGCACTAAAGCCAAACCCAAACAGAAGGCTGTTTGGAAACGCTGGTGTTTGTGGAAGATGCTGTGAGAGCATGCAAAAGGACGTCCTTAATGACAACCCGTGGAGATGAAGCTGCTCTGTCAGCCCCTTTGACAAACCGATTCCACGGCATTTGCCCTGCACACTGCGCCGGCCCTGTGTGTATCAGCTCACGCCACCTCTACCAGTTATAAAGACCCTTTAAGATATTTTTATTAAGACCCTTTAAGATTCGTGTTACAGAGACAGGCCCCACTTCACCGAGGAGACCATGGGTTACGGCAAAGCAGCTGCCAGGGCCCCACATCTGGGAAGTGGGGAGGCAGGGAGAAGAGTGTTATCCCTAAGTGTCTTGCCTCTGGTTGCTAAGAGGCCCTTGTGGCTCTTGATCACAGCTCCCCCCACGACCTGGACACATGGAGGCACCACTGATCTTCCTTCGTTGTTCCCAAGATGGACTTACCTTCCGTAGCACAGATGAGACACACTGGTCATTTAGATAAGAGCTGACCCAGGGCTTGGGCACAGCACATGAGATGTCTGCTGCTTCTGGATAAGGGTCTGGTTGACCACAGGCAGGGTACTCATCTCTCCCTTGAGGTCCCCACAGGCCCACTCTACCCCATGTGGCCAAGACTATTTCCTCCATTTTCCAGTGCATGTGGGGACTCTAGCACCCCCACCCCACCCCCACGTCTGGTTTCTGGCTTCTACTGAGGTCCTCCTTTA